ACAATGCGGTCGTGGTCATTACAACTGCATTTATTTAAGCGCTATGGGCAAAGTTTTCCGAGGAATTAGAAAATTTCTTTTCATCTCATCAGCCCTGTTCTTGCTTATGCCATTTTCCCACCTCGCACGCGTGGTCGCAATAACCTAGTGGTCATGGTGGCGGATTTGCGGCTTGCGTTGGAATTGTTGAGTCGTGGTTTTGAGCCCTGATGCCACTTGTGACCCGTCGTGTTTCAGGGCTAATGCGTGAGTTCCTAATTTCTCCTGCTGGCGGGGTGTGGATGTTTAGAGAAGGTGGTGCCAGTTCAGGTGTCTTCTTAGTCACTTGACCGAGACTCAAAATTACGAGAACCCTCGTCAATAGTCCTCGTGTGGCTTCTCAGTGCGACGTTAATAAGAAATCCTACATTTCTGAAGACACTAAAACCACCAACCTATAACAAGTTCAACGACTAACAATATCTGGAAAACTCAAGTTAGAAAAGAAGTTTTATTTTGTAATTAAAATATTAGATCAGCATTACATTTAACGTACCCAGAAAATGACAATAATTTCAAATATAGCCGGAGAAGTTTAAACACAATAAAACAAAAAAATATAATCTCCAACAACACAAATAATTATCTGCGCAGATAATTATATCACACACAAGCCTTAAGGTGCCCATTTCTGGAATTCAACTTAAATCTGGTTTATATTAGACGATTTCACGTCAAATTATAATATCGTCGTATTTGAAATATTTTAGAAAAAAAAAATATGAATTTCCAACCCAGAGTAAAAGAATGGAAAAAAATCGTAGAAAATAATATGAATTTCCAACCCAAAGTAAAAGAATGGAAAAAATCGTATAAAATAATTGTTCAATTGCCTATGTTTTGGGTACTTGAGGAAAATGTTTTAATCACTTTCAAGGGATATTCTAGAAACAGGGTTATAACAAAAGAAATCATAACGAGTTAAAATTTAAGAGCCAGTGTTTCATATGATTTGACATATAGAAAGACATTTAAATAGTATAATAATGGATAGAATGTTCACAGATTCATTAGCAAATAATTTAACTGGGTTGATAAATGAATTTGAAATTTGATATGTTCTGTAATACATAATTTTAAAGTCGTTTACTGAAAAATTTAAATATCTTACTAAAAATGTATTATAGGTATATAAGTGTGTGTAGTGTGGCAACAGCCGATCTTTTCTGCAGTGCTATCTACAACCTCACTTGCAAAGAAACAGCAGTTAAAGGACAGACAACACCGACTCCGTTGTACAAAAATGCGCGGGATGGACGTTCTTTAATATTAATCAAGGGCAGACAGCACTGCCACTTTCAATTCATATCACGCCAAACAGGCACTTGTGTTTATTTGTATCACCTCCTAGGAATTTCAACTACACCCAACTCTTTTTTTTATACCGTAGATGCGTTTCTCAAAAATCATGCAAAATAATTCTTGTAAAAAATACATGCGACGTATGGTAAATTTGGGGATATGTTTCACAACTTTAAAAAATCGTGTAAGATGAAAAAGCTCTTAATATTTTCCTAAAAACAGAGTAAAAAAAATTAATACTGAAATCCATATAACATATTTATAAGTCAAAACAATTCATTTTTGTCACAAAAAAATTAAAATTAGTATACAGTGAAAATTCAATCTCTATAAGTAGATACAACAAATAAAAATTCAAATTAAACTTTGGAATAAAACTACTAAAGAACAACTATTCATCGCTACTTGATAACAGGTGTGCACGTTCATTACGAACTGAATCAAAAATGCTATCATCAGTAGATGCGTCAGATATGTCTAGCACTACTGTCGGCTTTGATTCGAATGAGGAATTTCGTTCGCTATTAATGGCCTATGTTAGTTTTTTTGTTATCACAAAGTTTGTTAATTACCGGCGGTTTTTTTTTTTTTTGTTACTCAAGTTGTTATATAATTCTTGATATCCTGCTATACAAAACTTAAAATCTAGCCTTTGCAAATTAAATCAGCTATTAATAGCTGAACTTCATTTTAACTTCGTCACTATCAACTTCTTTATTATCACAAACTGTTATAAATTTTATCAAATCATCCTCATCCAAAGGGCTTTCCAGCATCAATTCTTCGATGCCAGCCGTTTGTTTGCATGTTGTTAAAACCTTCGCATTTGATAGAGTTATAATTTCAGATCACACAGCTTATTTTTGTACTACGAAACTTCCACTTTTGACGCATGCTGGCAAAAGTTTTCCCCAACAAGCATTTAAGGGCAATTGGTGCAACTGTTTGATGGCAAAAGAAGCATGTGTAATACAATCCACTATCGTAAACTTTCTCCATGCTTCCACAACAGTCAAAATTCTTTGTAATATATTTTTCCTAAAATATATTTAAACTTTTGCTTTATGTAGTACATTTTAAATTCTGTTATAGTACCCTGATCGAACGGCTGGATCAAAAAGGTGGCATTAGAAAGCCAATTTGCTTTAATTTTTGTTTTAAAATCTTAACAATCTGTCTTATATTAGTACACTTTCTCTGAGATAGAAAGCATTTCTGTACTTCCTGTTTAAGCTTGAGTGGGAGAATTTTGTTTTTTTAAGCAGGAGATTTGTGTGAAGGCTATTATTATAAATGATTTCTCTTGTAAGTTTTTTGTACAATTTTTTTTTAAAATCTGGTTGATTTATTGTTTTTTCTTTTTATATTTTCGGGAGGTAGATTGAGTATATCTGACTGTCTTTTTTTTACTCCTTGATTGTTTCTATTTTTAAGTTCTTCTTTTCCCATCTTGTTTCTTTTTGAATTGATGGATTTTACATATTGGGTTATAAAATTTTTATTGCAGTATTGTTGTGTACCTGTAAGACATGTGAGTGAAACCAGTTAATTTGTTAAAATGAGAATCAGAATTTTTTAATATTATCTTTCATTTCCTTAATGGAGTTCATTTTCTTTTTGCTTTCTTTGTTTTTCATATATTTGTTTGTACTTATTCGTGATTTGAACTTATCATCAGCCATTATTTATTCGTTTAATATTCATTCAGGTATATTGATATATTTCTTATTTGTTTTGTTGAGTAATATTTTGCAGGTTTTATGCAACTAAAAATTTTATTTTCTTATACTTTTTTCTGTATTCTAAAAATATTCATAAGTTTTTTTTTGTAATTCTTAAGAAAGTTTAATTTTTAATTCTATACTAATTTCAGTTACTAATTTCAATTATTTCTTTAATTAATAAATTACTATTTCTATTATATATATATATATATTATTTATATCTTTATGTACTAAAAAGTGTTTAAAAATTCCCTTTTTAAAAATTAAAAAAATTTGAGTTATAACAAGTTATTTCATTTCAGTTTTGTTACTTAAAGAAGTCATTTTTATTTGTTTAGCGTCAGGATCTTGAATTTTACCTTTTTTTTAAAAAAAAAAATCGGGAATTATATGTATACCACTGCTGGCATGCTCAATATCGATCATAGCTCTCAAATTTCTCGCCGCTTCATATTTCTAAATATTCAGAATGAAATGATCACGTTGCCCCTAGCAACCACTTCAATGATTTCGTATTTCTTCATGGTACTGAGTAAGAAAAACAAGGCTATAAAATTCGCAGTTTTAATGCATATTATATAAATATTTCTTTAGATTTTGCTCTGTACTTATATTACACATGTCATTACATAAATCATAAGTTTATAAATGTGTCTAGGACTGGCTCAAATTTCTTGATCAATAAACTTGTACCTGAAGTTTAGGAATAATTTGAATATTTTCGAAGTTAGTGCTTTCCAATCCATTGAAACGAATATATTTTAAAAATTTTTGTTCCTTAAAAAGCGCCTTTTTCTTAAAGATACTGTCAGTTATTTTTGTCAGAAAATTCATGAAGATTATTATTTTTAATATTATAATTTAGACGAAAAGTTATAAAAATTGAAATGAGTAACAAATACAACTTAATGGCTAGAAATTGCAATATATGTGTGAAATTTAGTATCTGTTTTTCCTAATTTAACACATACATCTTCTAATTAAAAACGGAACTTCCTGTGAACGTTTTGAAATATTGTAAAACCTTGAAAATTCCTGCTTAACTCTCTATTTATTATCTCTGAAAGAGTGATTATAACATAATTTATCTCAACATTTTTATTTAGAATTAATCACTATGTATTTTTTTTCAAAATATCGATTAGTATATGAAAATTTTATAGCAAAAATCTATTAAAAAAATGCATCAAAGTGATTTTTATCATAAAATCTTGATATTTTATTTCGTGGAATTTACAACAGGTTTTGAATGAGTAGAATTTGAACCACTACTAGGCGATGATGATGACACTGGTTCCGCATCGTCGGTATTCAGGTTTCGAAATCCAACTAACACTATAAGACTTAGAATTTAATTAGAAGTAATTTATAGCAATCCCCTCATTATTATGCGTGGTAATCTTATGATAGAATTGGATTTCGAATCCAGAGATTCTGTATTAGCTTATTGTTTGTAGCTTTATGCACCTCCTCCTCATGGAACATGTAATTACAAATTTTCAGTGAAATGAAATCTGGTTGTCAAAATAATTCTTCTAATATTTAACTTTTCCCAAAGAAAAAAAAAATGAATACATAGGGGGGTCAAAACAAGGTTTCACATGACAATAGATAATAAAATTTTTGCATCACATTAAAAGGAAACGTTCATAATACTGTATAAAAAAATGATAAAATTCTGCAACTTATGGATACTAAAATAATGATTTATAGTAAAAGAACAATTAAAACTTCTTATACAATACCATATATATAAAAAGGTTAAAACGTATTCAAAAGGATTAATTCCGTTTTTGATTCTTAGTAAGAGTTAAAAGGTGAGAGTGTCCCATACTTGACCATGATGGCTCTTGCAAGAATTCATGCACTTCTTACAGAATCACTTAATCGTCCCGTAGAATGCTGTTACAAACTGTATTAAAAGGTTTACATATAAATTGCTTAAATGGATCTAGGATTATATTTCAATCAGAGTAAAATATAACGAGAAGGAATATTGTTCAATCTTCTTTTGAATGTATTGAAACGGAAGAAATATTTGTTGAATTTTTAATGGAGGAGCCAAGAGTAGAAACAGACGATTCGGACAATAATTTGAGAATCTGGAAAATCTGACATGTTATTATTAAAATACTCTGATCTATTAGGATGCCGGTGAA